AAAAAAAAAAAAAAAAAAAAAAAGGAATGTATGTGCCTCACGTAATCCAAAATTTTTATTTCACAGGTTATTCATAAATGTTGATATATGCTATTCATAACTGTGTAAATTATATATCTGGGGAATTTAGAATAGAGTTAGACTTTTAATTTTTAATTTTTTTGTGGGCAAATATGAAGACAAGCCAAAGCAGTGAACGTAATGTGATATGAACCTCTTCCGGGCTGAAGAAACACTTTTGTGTTATTTGATATTTTTGCTGCAGAATCCATGATGAACTAGATGATACAGAAGTTGAAGAGGCTCAAGAAGAAAAAATAAAATGGAAAGTTAAACTGGAATGTGAGCAAATTCCCAAAAAAGTAAGATTAAGTTGAATTATTGCAATCAGAGCTGAGAATAGAGGTGAAAAATCAGCGAGGAGTCCTGTTTGTCTCATCATAGTCAACATTTGGAACCCAGTTAAAGATCAAGAAAATTTGGTTATATTTTCTTTTTTTCTTTCTTTTCATTGATGGTTACATTTTTTTAAAAAAAGTTATCATTCAGGGGCTAGGGATTTAGCTCAGTGGTGCCACCTCCTGCTTTACAAGCACAAGGTCCTGAGTTTGATCCCCAATACCAAAAAATTTAAGATAAAGTAATGATTTATTCTGGTTTTGCCTGATTTTTCCCACATATCCTATATTATCCCAGATGGATAATGTGCAGTAAGTTTGGTATCCTTGTTTCTGAAATGGATTGTAAACTGTTAAAAAAAACTTCCCTTTCAAATTACATTAAAAATTTTAAGCATTTTGATATACTATCTTAACTAATTTTAGTGATTTATAGCTTAATTTGTAGGAGTAACGGAGTACCATGAACTGTAAGCTCAAACATAATTATGGAAGCTGAAAATCTGAAAACAAAACATGGACAGGCTTGGTTCCTTCTGAGGTCTGTGAGGAAGAATCTGTTCCAGTCCTCTCCTGTAGATCCTTAATATCCCTTAGTTCTCTTTTCTTTTTTTTTTTTTGGTACTGGGGATCAAACTCAGGTCCTTGTGCTTCCCAGGCAGGCAGCAGAACCACTAAGCTAAATCACCAGCCCAGATTAATATCCCTTAGTTCTTAAAAGCATCACTCTGGTTTAATTTGGCATTTTTCCCTGTGTGTCTGTATCTGAATATCCCTGTTTTATAAGGACACCAGTCATGTTGTATTAGAGCCTACCCTAGTGACCTCATCATAGGCAATGGCCTGATTTCCAGATAAAGTTCCATTCTGAGTTATTGAGTGTTATGGCTTCCATGTAAGAATCTTAGGAGGATACAATTCAGCCCATTACAAAGCCAATACCTGCTACTCTTCTTTCTTTTTGATTTATTTTTAATTGTGAATTTTAGTGCACTGCATTAAGAATGGGTTTGGATTAGCAGTGAGACTCATAAAGGCAAATGTAACTTTCACTTAACCTTGTAAAAGGACATAGGACTGAAGATAGCACAAGCATGGCACTGTCCTCTCTTGGAGAAGCCTCTCAGATATTGGAAACTTCTTTTGCTCGTTAGAACATATATGGCTACCTTGGTCAAGAGCTGAGGTTGACAATGGGAAGCAGCAACTTCAACTTGCCACAGAAATTTTTCATTACTTTAGACCCAATTTTTTATTCACATAGGACCCAATGCTTTAGACTCTCTTAAAAAGCTTTCTGTGTATCATATCCTATAGTAGACCAGCCAATGGAGCATTCGGATATATTACGTAGTTTCTAAGAAACTGCTCTGTAAAAAGATGAACATCTAGCTACTCATTTGAACAAAGGCTTGCTTCAGCCCATACCCTTTACTCACAAGACTATAAAATACACATGTACAGTATCCTCACTAATTTAAAAGACAGCACCCAGTAAGTACTCTACGTCAAGAAATAATATTGCTTTCTCTCTCTCAGTCTTTTCCTCTTTTTTCCCCTAGAACTAACTACAGCCCTGACTTGTATGTGAATTACTTCCTTGCTCTTTACGTTTCACTACTTATGTAGTCACCCCTAAGAATACAATTTTTTTTGCCTTGTTTTGTGTTCTGTACAAAATAGTATTGTTTTTATTCTTTTCTGTCATGTTTTTATTCAATTTTAAGAACCATAAATATTGGGTATACATGATGTGATCAAAATGCACCATAAAACATAAAAGTCTAAATTTTAAAAAATGTATAATAGTAAAAGACATATTGCTATTAATGGCCTTCAAAATATTCCCCGACTTCCAACGCATCCTATCATTCTTGCCATTTTCTAAAACAGTTCTGTAAGTCTTCATCTGTGAGTGTTTTTACAAGATATAATAAAAATACAGTGAATGTTGGTGAGTCAGGCTCGCAAAAGCATAGTGTGTCCTTGTGACCATTAATCACGTGTGTCCCTTAAATGAATGAAGATACACCTAGCAGATTAGTAAAGCTCAGATCTGGGCTCTGTGGTTCACTGACGTGTAGGCTAGCAAACTGAGGGGCAAACACCCTCCTTAGGTAGGCCTGTAGTCTGGAGGGAATGAAAAAGGAAAGAAGGAAGTATGCCCCTTTCTGAAGAGCTCCAGTCTTCACCTTTGGACATCAGTCTCCAGTTTCTTCAGCCTTCCAGTATATACTTGCACCAGTGACTCTGTGGTGAGTTTCCAAGCCTTTGACCTTGTAAATGGAGCAACAGCCCTGGTTTCTTGTTCTGCAGCTTCCAGCTTCTTGTGTTGAGCAACTGCTGGATCCTCCATCTCTCCAGCATGCAGACATTTGTCATGGGTTCTTCTGCCTCTGATCCCATAGAGGGGCATTGTGGACTTAGCTCTCTCAGATATTGGGGATGGCGATTGTGGACTCTTGCCGCTAATCCTGTAAGCCTTCTTAATAAATCCTCTTGATAATTTTGTAGGAGACCATCTTACGAGTTTATTCCAACCAGGGGGCCAAACAGGGATTAAAGACATAAGACACAGTATTTAGAAGGGGGCCCAGGGGACTCTTGCCTCTAGTGGCCAGAAGAGCCCCAAACTGGCAGTGCTCTTCACTTTATTATTAGAGTCACACAAAGAAGCAAGCAAGCATGTGACCCAGGGTTTGGGGAAGTTTCATCAGGTTCTCATATTTTACAGATTGCACCCAAATGTATATTTTCTTTAATCAGATTTCAGCTGCAGTTGACTCTCCTTAAAACTGGCTGGCACTGTCATGCTAACAAACAGACCTAAGGAAGGGATGGCTTGCTATCTCCTTCCGCCATGTTTCAAGGAGAGTTCAGCCCAGGCCTCAACCTTTATACCTGGTTTCTCACATAATTTTACATATATTTTCTTTTGATTCTGTTTCTCTACAGAGACCTAACGAATACAGTCCTCATCCACCTTATTCACCAGATCTCGCACTTGTGCAGTTTCTGGCTCCTCCCAAAAGTCCATATGACTATAAAAGGTAAACATTTTAAATTGATTCAGGATATTGGGGCAGCCATGACAGTGCAACTAAAAACACTCATGAAAGAAGACTTCCAGAATTGCTTCAGAAAGTGGCAAGAATGCTGGAATGAATAAGTGTGTTCAAAGCAACAAGGAGTATTTGAGGGAGGATTAATGGCAACACGTCTTTTATTACAATAATTTTTTTAAAACTAAACATTCACTGTATTTTTATCATACTTCACATAATTGTTTATTCTTCATATCAAAATAGTAATATTCCATTATTTGAATATGTGAAGTTAAATTGTTGGTAGATATTGGGCCAGCTCTCAGCTTTGGTGGTTGTGAGCAATCCTACTGCATTCTGTTACTGTACTTACATTCTCCTGTGCATATGTGATGACTAAGCTTCATTGTTACTTAGTTAGCTTGGGAGCTGGCTAGGAGTTTAGTAAAGCACACTTTAGGGTGTGTCTGGGTGAGTCAGAGAAGTGTGGCCTTGGGTCTGGATCTGGACCCTATCCCCTTCCTTTCTGGTCTTTCTAACCTCTGCTTTCCTACCACCATGAAATGAGCAGTATTCATCCACCAACCCCTTCCACCATGATATTTCTGCCTTGGAGCCTCTGAAACCATAAACCAAACAAACATCTCCTTTAAGTTGTGTGTGTCAGGTGTTTTGATTGCAGCAACGAAAAGCTAACCAAACAGGGCCTGGAAGCTCCTGAGATTTTAAGTCCACAGTGAAAGGCAGAAGAACCCTGAGTCTGATACCCACAGGTAATGGCAGTAGCAAAAGATGTACTTGCTTGAGGAGAATGGAGATCTTCAAATGCAAACCAACTTCTTCCTCCTCCTCCATCTCATTCCATCGAGGCTATAAACTTTTTGGATGGTAGCACCCACAATCAGGTCCTTCCCTCTCAGTTCACCGGCCTACATGCCAATCAACATCCCATAGAGAAACCCAAAACCAGGCTTTACTAATCTAGTAGATATTGCTTACTCCAGCCAAGTTGACAATTAATGACTAATGGTCACAGTACATAATCTCATTTCCTGAGAGGGAAAGTGCATGAGCATTTCCCTACCTCCTAACTGTTTTGAAGTTCACCAAGTTTTAGTCCCAGAAGCAGTATAGGTGAGGCTCTTTCTGTTGCTTCATAGACGTCCCTGCTCAGTATTGTCCTTATTTTTGCCATCTGATGAGGATGCAGTGGTATCTCATTCTTGTTTATTTTGCATTTTTTAGATTGCTACTGATAAGGAGCATCTTTTGATAAGTTTGCCTACTCAGGTTTCCTCTTTTGTGCCTATTCAAGTCTTCTTGTCTTTCCCTCACTCCCATTAGATCATCTGTGATTTTTTTTTTCTTGATGGATAATTCTTTAATCTGGATATGATTGGTTTTTATTTTCACTCTTGTGGATTATGTGTTGTACATCTCTGCTCCTTCTGTAATTTTCTTTCCACCCAGTGGCATTTCTTTAAATTTAAAAGTTCTTAATTTTATTGTCAAATTTTAAATCTTTTTTTTTTTTTGTATTGGAGATTGAGTTTAGGATCTTGCACTTGTGAGGCAGGCAACAGTACCACTGAGCTAAATCCCCAGCCCTTAAATCTTTGATACTTACTGCTTTCTATGTTTTTATATAAATATGCTAAGATAATAAAAATATTTTCCTGTATTGCATTCTGCCTTTCACTTTGAAGCTAATAATCATGAAGCAGAGAAGCCTAATTTCATTTCCCTTTTTTATTTTTATTATATCTAATTATCCCAGCACCATTCATCTGGGGGTAAAGGGCTGGCTTTTCCCCTGCAGTGTCTGCAGTGTCATCTCTGTCAAAGTTGAGTGTTCATGTTCAGTTGAATCTATCTTTGAACTCTGTTCATGCTTTGTCCCTTCCCAAGACCTCATGAGTTAATTACTGCACCCTTCTAATGAGGTTGAGATTAGGTAAGCAACTCTTCTCACCTATATTTTTGTCTTTTAAATGTGTTGACTATTCTTAGTTTTTGTATTTTAGAATCAGTTTGTCATGTTTCACAGAAAATCCTGATGGGATTTTTATTAAGCATGTATTAAATCTGTAAACTGTTAGGATTAAAATCTTTTATGTCTTCTTAAGTATTTCTCAACAGTGTTTTATAATTTTATTTATAGATGTCTTATATTCTTTTTGTTACATTTATTGCTAGATGCTTAATGAAACTATTATTGATTTACTTTTGTTCCTTTCTTTTCCTTCCAGGGATTAGGATCAACTCAGGCCCTCATGTGTGCTAGCCAAGTGCTCTACTACTGAGCTGTGCTGCCAGCCTTACATCATTATTTTTGAGACAGGGTCTCACTATAGAGTTCAGGCTGGCCTTGAACTCCCTGCGTAGTCTGGGTTGGCCTCAGACTCATGGTGATCCTTGTGCCTTAGCCTCCTGAGTGCTGGAATTATAGCATGAACCACCATGCCCAGCTTCCTCCATTTTTTATTAAAGAACCATTTTTTAAGTGTTGTTTTCTTGTTTGATTGAAAAACACCCATATATAAAAATGTGTGTAGGAAGCTGGGTATGGTGGCTCACGCTTGTAATCCCAGCACTCTGGGAAGCTGAAGCACGACAATCATAAGTTCAAGTCCATTTTGGGCAAATTAGTGATTTAGCAAGACCCCTTCTCAGAATTAAAAAAAAAAAAAAAAAAAAAAAAAAAAAAAAGACAAGCTGGAGATGTAGCTGAATGCAAGGGCCAGGTTCAATCCCTAATACAACAGAAAGAAAAAAAGATAAATTTTGATGTTTGTTAAAACATTTCTGAAAATAATATATCCTTATAGTGGATAGCTAGTTTGGCTAAAATAGAATTAAGTTTGAGATTATCATCCCGTGAGCTCTTGCTAATCACCATTGCAAAGGTGAGATCTTAATTTAATTCTAGTTTCTTGCTGACTGTGTTGTTCTCTCTGAAAGCCTTTACATTCTCTTTTAATTCTTGGTGTTCTGAAACTAACTAGCTTATAACAAATTTTGAATATACTATCTTGAATAGCTGTAAGTTTGCTTTAAACTTTGAGTTCTTTGAATCATATTTTCTTCTGGAAAAATTTTTCCATATTTCCTATGTTTTTAAGTCTCAGGTCAGCAAGCATTTTCTGTAGAATAAGACAGCAAATACTTAAGGTTTTTAAATGTGTGAAGCAAAATTGAGGGTTTTATGTGGGTACTTATATAATGAAAGAGATGTTTTAATAATTTCCTTTTTTCACATTTCAGTTTCTTTGGGTAATAGCTTTTTGTTTTGAGTTGGGGGGGGGTCCCTAGAGGAAATCTTGGTTGATTTTGTTATGGTGAGGGGTAGGGCAGAGAGAATTCGTTGTAATAGCTTTGTCTGTTTTTTATATATATTATTATTTCATCCTCATGTTTAACTGCATTACTCACACTCCTCTTAAGTCCAACCTCCAGAGCAAATCTCTGTTTTTGTGAAAAATTTGTTAAACTCTCAGTTACTGATGGATATACCTCACGTCTTATGTGCACACATGCGCGTGTACACACACAACCACCTGCTCTTTACATAGTAGTCTAATAAACCATCCTGAATGCAAAGCTTTTACTTGACAGAAATATGTACTAATTTATTTAAACTCCTTTACAAAAGGAGACAGGTTGTAATAACACACTTAGATACTTTCAAAGTTATACTGTGCAAAAAAAACAGCAAGAATCTGCTTCAGTATTACAGACCTGTGTTTTTTATGTAAGTGAGAGTACTTAATCACTCATGTGGATTATTGTAATATTTTGCATGATACACAGTGAACAGAATTTCATCTCTGTGCCTTTAAGCTAAACTTCATGGGAATTGGTACATACTGAATGTGGTAGAACACTTACCTAGTATATAGCTCAGTAGTAGGACACTTACCTGAGTCCCAGCACCAAGTAAATAAAGGTAAAGTCAACTTGACTATAACAGTTTTTCTTTTTGTCATCATTATTGACAAAATTGCTGTGTCAAGAGAAAAAGTTGGCTTTGATAGCAATGATACATCTGAAATATAAGTCCATTTCCAATTGGGCTGATACAGTTTCTTAGTGTTTTATGAAATGATGAAATGTTGAATCAAAATATTTATAAGGATCATCATTGCAAAGAAAGAAATGCAGTGTCAAAACTGTAGTTCTGTAATTACCTCTTGTCAAGATTTGAGGGTGTAGACTTTTAATTCAGTAAAATGCGTACAATTTACAAATTTAGGGTCTTCTCTCTTAACCATGAATATGTCATACTGGTTTGTTTGGTTTTAATTCTGGAAATTTTCAAATGAAGAATGGAGAGAATAGTATGTGAAACTCACGGGCCCATCACCCAACTTCAACAGTGATCAATTCATGACTAATCTTGTTTCTTCTGAAAACCAGGCTGCTTTGAATCTAAAGTTTTTAAATCAGAATTTAATTTTTACTTAGGTTAGGCACTTTGGAAACTCTGCAACATCACCAAAGAGTTTGCCATATAGAAAATCAAGAAGTAAAGACTATGAGTCATACAGTGATAATGATACCTGCAGTCAGGAACCAGAAAATAATTTTGAAAAAGAACTTCAAAAGTACATACGAGCTAAAGAATTGGCAAATGCTGTTCAGCTCCTGCCATCTTCTAAAGAATCTATGACAAAAGAGGGAGTAAAAGCTACCAAGCTGTGTAAGTACCAAACTGTTTTATCATACACTATGTATTTAGAGAAGCAGTCACAGTTACCTGTATTTCATCTTTGATAAGAACATGATTTTCAAGGATCTTTACACCAAGTATGAGTTTATAGGGGCAGGGCTGAGACCCCAGTGTGAACCGCTCAGTGTTTATAGGAAGGAGCCAGGGATGTAGGTAGGGCCCTGCCTCCATCTAGAGAGAAAGCTGAATCCATGGCCTCCATGAGTGAGGGATAGTATGTGCCTGTTAGTGCTACTGTCCTATAAAGAATTCCCTAGAATGGTTGTATGTCAAACTGTAACTTAGAAATATATTTTAGATCAATAAAGTGAGATTTAGTCATAGATAGGCCAAATGACAATTGTAAATGAAATTTTTTTTTTTTTGGTGGTTCTGGGGACCAAACCCAGGCATGCTGTACTGCTGAGGTACACCTCCACCCTTTTTAAAATTATGAGACACAATTTCACTAAATTGCCCAAGATGGCCTTGAACCTGGGATACTTCTGCCTCAGCCTCTTAAGGCTGGGATTTCAAATGTACATCACCATGCCCAACAGCAAATAAAATTCTTAATGCTTTTACTGTTTTTTTTTCCCCCTTTCAAGGATTTTTTCTGTTTAGAGTATATCTATAGAGCTGGGGATTTAGCCGCCTGCCTTGCAAGCACAAGGTCCGAAGTTCAATCCCCAGTACAAAAAAATATATATATCTGTAGATAAACTTAATCTATACCAAATATTTTAATTGAAAGTTTTAACTATAATATGTGAAGTCATTTTAAACAGTTATAGGTTTTTCTTTTGTAAAGCTGTGGCAATTCCTAATTGGATTCATCATACCCTAAACACTTAAAAAGAATCTAGCTTGTAGCTTACAAGGTTGATTTTATTCTTTTCTAGTTTTTTCCCCTAAAAATACCTTATATATTTTCAAAAACAGTGAATTGGTAATTTAGGATATGTAATGATTTTCTTTGGTCTCTTAATCAAGGGCTTTTAGAAAAATAATTCAGTTACTAGTTTTTCTTCACTGGGCTATAGAAAACTCTTACTGAATTAATAAGATGTACTTTTTTTTTTCCCCCAGCTTTAATTGAGTTTATTGGTTCATTTTAGGGATACATTACAGTTGCATTCATTGTTGGGATCTTGTACCTTTGCATGACAAGCCTTGATTCTCATTTTTTCCCCTTACCTCTGCCCTCCCTTCACCCAAAAAGATGTACTTCTTAAGAAGAAACTGATATTATTATGCTTTTATGTCATTTTAAAAATTAACTTTCATATTTCTAGCTGCTAAACCAAAACATAAAAATCTTAAGCCTGGTCACAAGAATGGTAAACAGAAGAAAATGAAACGAAAACGGCCTGGCACTGGAAACAAAGAGCCAGATGCCTTATTGCAGAAGAGCAGTCCTCAAGGAGAGGTATGGGAACGTGGGCTTATAGGAACTCAGTACAAGACAGTAAATGGCTGTTCTGGACCTGTTTTTCTGGGGGCTTTTAACTGGATGGCAAATTTTTTATTAGGCAGTAGTAGGTGGGGTTAAAGAAATACAGACATTCTAGACTCAGACGCATACAAAATCTGTCCCCACCTCCACATTTTACAATGAAGAATCCAAACCTCTGGGGCTCAGGTAATGGCCTGCAGTTACATAGGACCAGCAGGTGTGAAGCTTGATTCCTGGACCCCAGTCAGTTTCCCTTTTCTTTGGTGGACCTTGACTCAGAGGACTATTCAGCCAAAGCTGACAGCTCTGTGACATGAAGAACAAATTCTGTCATATGTTAGAATTTAATAATATAGTCAAAAATCCAAATATTTAAGCTAAGATAAACAGTATTAATAAGATAGAATTTTGATAGTCTTACTAATGAATAGCAGGACATTATTGCAAAACAGGTCATTAAGTGATTTCTATACATTAGCTCCTATAGTTGCACATACTGTAATACTTAAATTGTATTTACTAATTTGGGATACAGAAGCTGTAAACTGTACTACAAGTTAACACACTAAAGTAGTTCATGTTTCTTAAGAGCTAAAAGGGATTTTTAAATGTTCTTTTTGTTTTGTATATAAAAATCCTTTCCTTTTATGCCTTTATTACCTCCTTTGACGGTATATGTCTAGTTACTTCTGTTAATTTGAGCCAGTCCCAGACATCTCATTGAAATTATAGATTGCACAGCTCCTTGTTCAGCCTATCATTCCTAGCTTTGTCTCTATTATTCTGAAGATCTTTCTTAGACTTTTTATCATAAGTACTGGGATTTTCATTAAGTTTTTTAATTCATTTTTTATAAAATAAGGGCAGAGTATAATGAAATATTCGAATAAACACATGCTAATATTTGATGATGGAACGCTGTTGAAACTGAGAAAACTTCATTTTTAAATTGATGTTCAGACGTCCAGATGTTACACCTAAAGCCCAACTTAGAATCTGAATCACTTTTTAATGTCTTAAAAGGTAGTTTAACTTCATACAGCAGAATAAAATATTTAATTTTCTGTTTCTCACTTTAGTTTGTTTTTGTTTTTGAAGGATGGTGCACCTAAGGAGAAGCAGCAGCATGTGAGAATGAGTCAGGGATTCATCAACCAGCACACTGTGGAACGCAAGGGGAAGAAAGTCTGCAAATACTTTCTTGAAAGGAAATGTATTAAGGTATAAAAATGTGTAAGCAAAAAGTATGGTTTTACAGTAATATACTAAAACAAATTGCTGTTTCCATTTGACACTCTTTTACATAATACCTGTAGGTTATTAGAATTTTCCTCCTAGAAAAGATTCTATCAGAAAATTTTAATGCAATACTCTTTTATGTTTTAAAAAATGCATCACTTAAAAAAATGCTTTGTTTCAAAAATGTTCAGTGCTTAAAATTTTAAGCAGTTACGTGATGTGTTTATAACACAGCTCATTAAGAGGTAGACCATCCTGCTTCTAAGACTTTTATTCTTTCTGGAATTATTTGCTTACTTAAAGTTTAGTAGGTCATTTAATGACCTACCTGTAAGTGATAATGCCTTGTTTCTGTACTTTCTTTTGACCAGGGAGACCAATGTAAGTTTGATCATGATGCAGAAATGGAAAAGAAAAAGGAAATGTGTAAGTTTTATGTACAAGGATATTGTACCAGAGGCGAAAACTGCCTGTATTTGCATAATATCCTGAATCATAAGATATAGCAACTTAATTTTTTTTTTTTTTTTTTTGTACTGGGGATCAAACTCGGGTCCTTGCACTTTTGCACTTGAAAAGCAGGTGGCGGAACCACTGCGCTAAATCCCCAGCCCTAGTAACTTAACTTTTCCTAGGTACTTATATGAACATTTTAAAGATGCAAAAATTTTAATGAAATGAGATTCTAAGCAATAACAAAACTATACTAAGCTCAGTTTAGTATCAAAGATATCGAAATGTGCATAGATTCACACACACACAAGAAAAATAGCAATCCTTTGGAAAAATCTCTCAAATGAAGATCCTTTCTGCCCAACCTCAGTAGTATAGTTGGTTCATGAGACTTGGTCAAGTCCCAGAGAAACATTATCTCTGCTGTGACACTGACTAATTGAATCTATATTCGTATGAGCTATTTCATAAGAAAGGCAGGAATTATATAATTTGGGAGTACAGTACCTGCTTTCTGTTTATAAACTGTATAGATGTCCTTTAATTTGAAAGTAACCTTAGTTCTTCAGTGCAAATGGTATAGACATGTCGTGAAGATATGGAATGTGAATCTTGTAGGGTGGCAGCACCTTTGGTAAACATAAAAATGGTTTTATCTTCACTGATTTTGATTTCCCCCATTTAAAAGAATGCTCTAAAGTAATTGTATTTCTCGAGGTATTTAAATATTCCCGTCCAATATCAATGAAACATACCTCTTTCTATTGATAGAAACATACTTTCTATTATGAGAACAGATATGAAGAAAAAAGTCTCTTGCAGTAGTCACTAAATCTGATACATATCTTTCTAAAATTAGATTTTTAAAAATTTTCAAGCCTAATCTTATGGTACAGACCTGGAACGAGGCAGTAGGATTGAAAGTTCCCGTCAAACCTGGTCAATTTAGTGTGACTTTGTCTCAAAAAAGGGCTAGATATATAGGCAGTGTGAAGGCCTGTTAACACTACTATAAAAGTCTTTAAAATTTCTAAAAGATTTTTCATGTAGCCCAATTAATAATAATTTATTGTCTCATACTTTAAAATAGAGAATTCAAGACTGGCATGGTGGTGCCAGAAATCCCATTACTCAGGAGGCTGAAACAGGAGGATTGCCAGCCTGGGCTGCATAGTGAGTTCAAGGCTAGCCTGGACTACATAGTGAGACCTTGTCTAAAAAAAAAAAAAAAAAAATAGAGAATTCACTGTTTCTACTAGTAGGAAAGATACTTATGTAGCAAAAATATAATAATTATGGGGTCAGGGATTTGGCTCAGTGGTGCCTGTACCTGAATCACAATTGCAAGGTCCTCAGTTTGATTCCTGATTACCCCCCCAAATAATCAAAATATATATATGTATGTGTAGTTATAATATTAAATTAATAAAATGTAGTTGGATTAAAATTGTACTCTTCCTTAACATTTGTGCTACATGAATATCCTTGCAAGTTTTATCACACAGGAACAAAGTGTTATCAGGGAGAGCATTGCAGGTTTTCACATGCTCCACTGACTACTGAAACACAGGAACTGTTGGCTAAAGTAAGTACAATTATTATAACATTTTAAATTTTTTCTTTTTAAAGATTATGTTTAAAGGAAGGGTGAAAATTTGAAAAGGGAAGCACTCTTTTGGGCAAGTTCTCATAGGTTAAAATGTGGATGGACATATTAGGACTAATACCCTCAGAATGTATTTAATACTTAATTGCTTATTAATTTAATTACTTAATAAGTAATGTGGAAATCATTTTTATGTACTTTTTGTGTAGCTGAGTTTTTAAAATTCATTTATAGCATAAATTGGAATGTTCTTAAAACCTTTAATGTAGTTAGAAACTTCAATAACTTAAGTAAACAAAGGGGAACAGAGCACAGCAGGGAAATAATTGTTCTGCTATAAAGACTAAGAAGGAAAGTTAGAGTCATAGAGCCATAAACATTTTTTGAGTTATATCAGATAGACAAGTAGTGCTTTCAAAGTGTTTTCTCCAAGTATTCTTTTAGTCTTTGAGGAAAGATTATTGAATTATTTATTATGCTCTTTTATATTTTTTAATTTCCTGTATGTTAATTGAAGGTATTCTCTTCAAAATTAAAGTAAAATATATATAAAGGTAAAAGATTTCTTAAAAACAAGTCTCCTCTGGAGGCTGAGGTAGAAGGATCACTTAGAGCTCTGGGCCAGCTTGGACTGCATAGTAAGTTCAAGGCCATTCTAACTACATAGTGAGACTTTGTCTCAAAACAAAAGCAAAAAAACATCATTTCTCATCTTGTGGCCGAAGTTCTCTTTAGCATACACAAATATTAAAAAGTCAAAAATGCTTATTTCTAGATATTTTTATGTTGTAAAATATGGAAAGGTTACTGTGGAACTAGATAATGTACCAACTATTTATTTATTTATGCAAAATATTTATGGGAAAATGATAGATGTAAAAATTTTAATACCCTCTTATAGATTCAGATGAAAGTTACTAAAATCTTTTGGAAAATAAAAATATGACAGTGTAATTAATTAGATACCAATGCTTAAAATGATTGTGCTTTTTTTTTATGTATATAAATTAGGTTTTGGATGCTGAAAAGAAGACATGTAAATAAAATAGTCTAAAAAAGGTAAAACTAGTGTATACTACATTTCTTACAGTCTAAAACCTCTACGCATTTGCATGTTAATCTCATTGAGGCTTATTTTCTCAAATAGATATTTTTCCTTCCTCTCCTACTAAGAAAATTATGAAAACTATTTATTTACATAGATATGTGGATCTCCATTGGCCTGCCTCCATCTGACTTTGCCTTTCATTTATATTTTTATTCTCTTGTGTTTCTTTGTACATTGATTAAATGTGTATAATTCACTAAGCGATATATTTAGTTTTGCTTATGGTACTCTAAAATTAGTGACTTGCTATTTTCACTCATCATTATGCTTCTAAAATCCTTTTATGTAGGTGTATCTGTCACTCATTTTTATTGCTATATAGCATTTAATTCTATGAATGTTATAATTTAGTTCTTGATAGACATTTAGACTGTTTTTAATTTTTTAATGCAAACTGTTGTAAATATTCATATGGATTCTCCTGGAATAAATTAAGGTATATGCCAAGGAATAAAATTGTATAAGTTTAAGATACCTTTTTGAAAGTATTTAATACGGGCCAGGGATTTAGCTCAGTGGCACTGCACCTGCCTTGCAAGCACGAATTCCTGAGCTCAATCCCCAGCACCAAAAAAAAAGTATTTATAATTGTTTATATGGCTATAAACTTAAAGAATTCCTTTTGTTCCATGTTTTTTGTGAATACTTTTTTTTTCCTTACCAATTTTTGTTGTTTTTTTTTGTTTTTTTTTTTTTTGTTTTTTTTTTTTTTTTTTTTTTTTTTTTTTTTTTTTTTTTTTTTGTAACAGAGATTGAACTCGGGGCCTTGCATTTGTGAATCAGGTGGTGGACCACTGAGCCAACCCAGACCCAGCCAATTTAGTATTTGTAAAAATGGTTTCTCATAGCTTTCTTTGCATAAAATACAGCACCTTTTCTTTTTCAGTTTTATCCTAGTGAAATGACTGTTGACATGGTTTTCCATGTTTCTGTTGGTCCAGTTGCCCTTTATACGTTAATTTTGTATATTTTTTTATATAATCCCTTGTGAAGAGTGCATGACAGGTCTTCTCCCATTGCATAGGCTGTCTTTTCACTTTTTTTGAGGCATCTTAATGCGCAGAATTACTCATTTTGGTGATGTTTTTGTTTATGGTTGGCTTTATTTCTACTCAAATCTTTCCTTATTTAGAAGTGGAAAAGTAATTTAACCTTTTTTTAATTTTGGGATTTTGTTTTATATGTTTATACTTTGTCCATTTAAAGTTTTTATCAGTTCACAGTTGCCATAGTAATGGTGCTTACCAACGAACGTATAGCTCTACAGAATATAACAAAAAACATATTTTTATGCATCTGAGGATGGCTGGAAGTCTAGGCTGGCCTTGGCTGGACCTACTGTTGTTTCATGCAGCAGTTCTGCTGGAACAGGTTTTTGGTACTGGAGATCGAACTCGGGTCCTTGGGCTCACAAGGCAGGCGGCGGAACCACTGAGCTAAGCCCTGCTTATTCTTACTTGTCTGATGTTTATCTCATTCTTTTTCTGGGACCAGCTAAGGCATGTTCTGTTCTCACTGGGAGAAGCCTAAGAGGGCAAAACCAAATTTGCATCACTTTGGCCAGAGTGATCACATGGCCCAGCTTGAAGCCAAGAGTAGAGAAGTACAGTCTACCTTTTGTACTTTATGTAGGGGAAGAAGTATAGATTATACATGAGAAAGAGTATGGCTGTGACTGTAGGGATAAAAAAAGAAGTAAAGGTAATTGATTCTTTTTAATGGTATGAGTTTAAGACCTTTTATCTTTCCTTTTCTTTTCCCCTACCCCCAAAATGGATAATGAGATTTCCCAAGCATCAGTTGATTAAAAAGACTGCTCTTTCCCCACTGACCTATAATGTCTCTTCTGGTATGAATCAAATTCCACTAAGCAGTCTGTTCCTGCGATCTCTATTTTTGGTCTTTTTTTGATAGCATACTGCCTTAATTCCTGTAATAAAACTAATTATTATCACTCATTTTGATTGTAGGTTTTCTAGTAGGAGTTGGTATTTCCTTATCGTTATGTTTGCTTTTTCTTAATGGCTAATGATGTTGCGAGCATCTTCATGTGCTCACCACCATTCGTCAGTTAGATGTTTGCCCTTTTGGCCTAACAGCATGCATCTTTATCCATAATATTACATGACAAAAAATGCAACACTATTTGCCTAATACATTGAGTATTTGGTATGCACTTTGATAAATTAAAACTACATCACTGAAAATTTTAGCTTGCCAATCTTTTTGCATTTATTTTATTACTCTACATGTAACATTTTAGACATCATGCTTAAGTAATTTTTTTTTGTTTTGTTTTGGGTTTTTTTGTTGTTGTTTTATTCTGTTTTGTTTTGGTACCAGCAATCAAACTCAGGACCCTTGCGCTTGCAAGGTAGGCAGTGGAACCACTGAGCTAAGACCTTGTGCTTGGAGGCAGGCGGTTGAACCACTGAACTAAATCCCTGGCCCTTCTTAAGTAGTTTTAATGAGTACTATCAAATCTTTCATACAGTAAATTATTGAACAAATTTTTCAGAGAAGGCTCTTGGTCAATATACTTTAACCCCTTGGTATCTTCCATTTGCATACAGAGATAATAAATTGTCATGGTATATATTCTTGGTTCAAAATTATTTTCCCTTTAAACTCCATAGACACTGTTCCACTGTCTTCTGACATTTAGAACTGCAAGAGAAAAATCTGAGGTCAGTCTGACTTTTGCCCCTTTATATTTATTGATAACCTGCTTTCTATATCTGGATACTTCCAAAAAAAATTTTTTTTTTTTTTTTGGAGACAGGGTCTCACTATGTAGTTGAGTCTGACCTGAAACTCAGTATGTAGCCCAGGCTGGTCTCAAACTCCCAGTGATCCTCCTGCCTCAGCCTCCCAAGTGCTGGGATTACAGGTGTGCGCCACCACACCTGGCTTATCTCTAAAATTGTAAAAAGTCACCAGGATATGTGTAGGTGTTTCTTTCTTTTTATTAAATTTTAAAGATAACCTGTAAGCCTCCTTCATCTATAGGCCTACTTCTTCAACTCTGCAAAGTTTTCTTCAGTTAGTTCTTAATTATTATTTCAGCTTCATTTGCTTTCTCTTCTGTTTCAAGTATTTTAATTATACATAGATTATATCTCCTAGATGGGCCCTCAGCAACTCTCTTTTTCTCTTTTCATATGTTAATTTATTTGACCATTTCATCTGTGGGAATTTATTTTGTTTTGCGCATACTGTTAACAGTTTTGCATCTACTCTAACTTACATGCTTCATTTAATTGTTTAAAGTCCAAGAATGCTTCCATTTGCTCTATTACTATCTGGTTTATCATTAAACACCCACCTCTAATGACCTGTCTTATAAGATGTTCAACACTTTCTAGCTCATCTGTGGAGACTGGTAAATCTATTTTGAGAGGAGGCAAGCTCTGTTCCTTTCTTCTGAACTGCAGTCTTAAAACCTAATGGCTTTTCTTTACAATGGGGTCCAAAATGTGGTCTTCCCAAACACCAGGGTAGAAGAACATCCTGACAGTAGTCTTTATGGTAATTTCTATGATGCTGAAAGTTTTCCTACAAAATTTACCACCACTCCCACTTTATTTTCACTGTGCTGGGGTTCAAATTTAGGCAAGCATTCTACCACTGAGTTACATCCCTAGACTTCAGTATTTTTTAAAAGCAAAAATACTAAATAGGACTGGTTAAATACTTTAAAATTTTTACCATGATAAAATACGGGTAATATTTGCCATTTTAACCATTTTTAAGTGTACAGTTAAAAAATGTTAAGTGCACTCATATTATGCAATGATCACCAAGATCCATCTCCAGAGCATTTTTTATCTTCAGAATTGAAACTATGTACATGAAACAACTCCTCATTCCTCATTCTGCCTTGTCCCCAGTCCCCAAGGAGCTGTCATTCTACTTTCTGTTTCTGTGATTCTGACTAGTCTGGATATCTCATGTGAGGAGCATCTTGTAGCATTTATCCTTTTTGACTGATTTATTTATTTAATATACTGTTCTCAAGATTCATCTATATCGTAGCATGTCAGAATTTCTTCCCTTTGAGGCTGAGTAGTATTCCATTGTATGTATAGTTACCCATGTGACTTATTCACTCATTCATCCATCAGTAGGCACTTAGTTTTCTTCTATGTCTTAACTGTTGTGCATAATGCTGCTGTGAACAGAGATGTGTAATTATATCTTTAAAATCTTGCTTTTGATTCTTTTGGGCTTACTCTATTTTTGATTACTTGAGGAATCATCATACTGTTTTCCACAGTAGCTGTCTGACCAGTAGTGCCCAAGGGTTCTAATTTCACCGACCCTTATGTGTTTGTTTTAATTGACAAGTAATGATAGTAGTGGTGTGTGAGGTCATAATGGTGTGTGAGGTAGTATTTTAATTTGTATTTAGTGATCCTCAGCATAGTATTTTCATGTGCTTAATAGTCATTCATATAATCATTTTTGGAGAAAGGGCTATTCAAGTCCTTTGTTACATTTTTTAATTGAGTTTTTTTTTAAAGTTTTAGGTTTTGTGTATTTACTGTAGATTTTAACCACTACTGAGATAATTTGCAGGTAGTATCTTCATTCTGTAGATTGTTTTTTCACTAGGTTGATAGTGTCCTTTGATTTTTTTTACTCTGTTGATAATGTCCTTTGATGCACAAAAGTTTTTTAATTTTAAGAAGTCCAGTTTTGCTGAGTGTGGTGGTGCATACCTGTAATGCCAGTACTCAGGAGCCTGAGGCAGGAGGATCTCTGTGACTTCAAGGCCAGCTTGTATTACATAGTTCAAGGCCAACCTGAACTGTATAGAAAACTATTTGCTCTTTTTCAAGATTATTTTGATTATTCAGGATCCCTTGAGATTACATATGAATTTTAAGGAGGGTTTTTCTATTTTTTTAAATGTGTCATTATGATTTTGGTAGGAATTGCACTGAATATGTAGATTTCTTTGTGTAGTGATTGTCTACCAAGCATATTGTCTTCAGAACCATGAACTTTTTGGTATACTCAAATAGATTTTTAATTATTTTCTATTCAGAATGTTCACTGTTAGTGTGTTGAAATGCAACTGATTTTTGTGTTGAGATTGTCTGCTTATAAAATAATGGAATGGATAGTTTCTTCACATGATGAAATATGTCATACCCTAAAAAAGAACGTTAGTAGCATACTTAATAGGGTAGCAGTAGAGGCATTTCCACTAGAAGAGTTTGTGTCCCAGTGGCATTGTCCAATTTCTAAACTTGAGTAAACAGGTTCAAACTTTTGAGTAAAAATTACAATTTCAGACCATTTGATTTTCCTCTGCGTGCTTGACATTTTCTAGACCTAGTCTTTCTTGGTAAGATTGGTCTGTGATATGAAAGGATGTGATTTTTAAAAATTATATAATAAAACATTCACAAGATCTATATAAATTAGTAAACTAATATTTTCCAAGTAAACAATGCAAGATATTATAAATTATGCATGGGCAGCCAGGAGTGGTGGCACACACCTGTAATGCCAGCGCTCAAGAGGCTGAGGCAAAAGGATCACCCACTGCGAGTTCAAGGTCAACCCGAGCTACATAGTGAGCTCAAGGCCAGCCTGAAATACATAGTGAGACCCTGTCTCAAAAGAAAATAATAATGCATGGGCAGAAATATCTACCAGCCTGCTGTAGAGACTAGTAGATACCCCCGCCCCCAGTACCAGGGATCAAACTCAGGACCTTGGGCTTGTAAGGCACGTGTGGTGCCACTGAGCTAAATCCTTTGCTAGTAGATTTTAATGCAGCAGTAAGATTCATTGACATAATTTTAGATTCCATACTACAACTTGAAATCTGCTTGCATTTACTTTTTTCAGGTTGGCAGGATTTTTTTTTTTTTTTTTTTTACATCTCCATATACAAGAAAGAAAATGGGGTACTTGTTTTTCTATATTTGGCTTATTTCATAAATACCATGTAATAATTACATGCTTCTTGTTTTTAGCCTAAATAGGTTTTAATTTTGTTTCTTATATGGATCATATATAGTTGAGCTTTGCTTTGTGAACTAAATGAAAACTCTTTTGATGAGTGACTTTAAGCCCATTCACATTTTTTTAATAGACTGCACATTTGGGTTAGTTTATCTTTATAATTAATTGTTACTTTTAAATATTCTTTCTCTATATATTTGCTCTTTATTAAAACTTTTTCCAACTCATTTTTATTTTTTCCTGCTTTTGTCCAATAATTCTTACTATATTTCCAAATTTCTTTCTTGTTAATAGTAGTCTTTCTTTCCATGAGATTTTTTTTCTTATTTCTGAAGCCAGTCAACTCTAGTTTCATTATTTCCATTTTTTTGTTGTTCCATTCTACTGGAATTGTAATTCAAGGTGTTCTCTAAGTTTCCCAAAGAATATTTAATTCACTTTGGATTTTTGTGTGTTTCTTCTGCTGCATGACTTTCCAGGTGTAGAGAAGTCATGGGGAAGCTAAGTGGTAATTTTCACAACCTAATATGTATATATTCTTTTCTTCTGTAGCTTTTGTACAGATGAAGAGTGGTTACGTCTGTTGTCTGTTCCAGCCTGAGCTGGTGATTTGGAGTCACTCACAGGATTCCTCACTTCAGGGGTCCTTTTGTGTCCTTCTGCTGATGTGCTGCTCTAACAGTGGCACAGAGGGATGGAGTTGCCCTGTGCAAGTGAAAGAAGGGATTGGTCTTCAACCAGATGTGCCAGCTCTTGAGACAGGAGAAGAGCACAAACGCCAAGATGCAGGCTTGTGGGTTCATGTGGCAGTAAATTGCAGCTGTGTTTTCTGTTTGAGATTTCTGAACAAAATAAGAAAAGTTAGTCTTGAATGAAGATATCAAGAAGTTAGGAAGATACTGGGATAATATAAGTTAGATCTCTACATGTCATTAAATACTTTGACATCACATTTTTAATGATCACTCACAGTTCCATTTTATAGCTTAAAATTTATGATTCCATGATTTTTTTAAAACCAATCTTCTATTGGACATTTGTTTCCAGTTTCTTACTATTATAAATAATATACCATTTCTAAACTTGGTGTTCTTAGCCTTTTTTGTGGTTAAAATACAGGGGTATAGTATTTATCTTTCTTACTGGTTTGTAAACATAATCAGATTATGCATCTGTATGCAGTATAAACTTAGAGTGTGATGTCTGAAACACAATATACAAATATAAAACTTTCCAAGTATAAATAAGATTCTTAGCTGGATGTGGTGGCACACACTTGTAATCCCAGCACTCAGGAGGCTGAGGCAGGAGGATTGCTGTGAGTTCGAGACCATCCTGGGTTACATAGTGAGTGCAAGGTCAGTCTCAACTACATAGTGAGATCCTGTCTCAAAAACCAAAAAACAAAAGATTCTAAATATGCATTTTTATATAGTACTGATTATTATCAATACTGTAAACCAACACCATAATCATCATAATGTTTTATTGCTGGCAAAAATAATAGCATCACTAACTTTCTGTACGTATAGAAAACACAAAATCTTGTAAGACTTCTTAGCATATTTGATAGTATAAGCCAGAGTAATTTTGGTTGTAATCCAGTCTACCTAAAATTGTATGTATTCCAAGCAAAGATTTATCAGGCAAGACATAAGAAAGGAAGAGACCAGGATAGACCCCAGGCCCTCAGAGGGAAACTGAGCTGAGAACAAGCCATCTGTCAGTGTTGCTGTCGCACGTTGATTATCCAATCCCTGGTGATGTCTAGGAAGAAGGGGAAGACAATGCCCCAGCAGCTGCTGGAAGAAATCAGAGTAGAAAGGCTGAGCCAGGTACATTACAAAGCCTTTCATAATTTAATGAAATTGTGTAAAGTAGTAGTTACCTTCAAAATAAATACTTTAGGGCCAGGGATTTAGCTCAGCGGTTCAGTGGCCTGCCTTGCAAGCACAGGACCCGAGTTCAATCCCTGGTGCCAAAAAAAACCAAAATAAATACTTTATATCTCCTCTGAAGAGCATACATAATTTTAAGGAATCCAAGATTCTATCCTACCTCACATTTGTAGATAGAAGGCAAATTTTATGTCAAGCCTATCCATAAACTAATAGCAGCCAGTAAGCTAACCTTAATGTGCACCTACCATATGCCAGGAAGTATGCTGTTTTATTTTATACTGCTTAACTTTCTTTAAACCTCACAGCAATCTTATGAGCTGGATGGATAATATAATCTACATAGAAATGGATAAATAGGAACATTTACTTTATATTTTTTATTTTTATAAACCCTGCAAATATTTGTAATTAGTTATATGAGACAGTCTAGCAATATATTTCCTAATATGGCCTCATATACAGTTTACTATTTAGAAAGTATATGTGTTTATACATATAGTATAGATAGATCTAAGAAGAAACTCTTATACTCCTGAGGCAGTTCCCATCTTACCTACAAGTTAAAAGACCAGGCAGTGATTTGAGAGGCTGAAGTCAGGTGGAGAAGTTTATAAACTTATTATTTTTTAGTAGCTTATTTTGAAGAGACAAATACACTGCTTGCGTTAAATTGGGAGTGAGATGTACACTCTCTTAAATGGCCCTGTGCACCCACAGTAGACCATAGTCTCATACCTGTGTTACGGCAGCCCCTTCCACCTGATTGCCTGCTCTATCCCCTACTCTTCTCACAGTTCGCCCCAGTTTCCTTGGAGTAGACTTCCCTCTGTACTGCTTCAGCCTGGCCTCCACTGAGTCCAAATCCACCTCTGCCTCGTTTTTGAAGTGCTCTGCAGTTTATCCATCACAACTATAATCATAAATGGTTCATAAGGAGTTGTAGTTCAAAATATGTATTATTTATTAATGTGTTTGCTGTAAAAAAAAAAAAAAAAGTACTTGAAGCCATGTACTTTATTTAAAAAATCAGGTTTATGTACCTCACAGTTTGGGAGACTGAAAGTCCATTTGTTTGACCTCTGATAAGGGACCCTCAGGCTTGGTCAAAACCTAGCTGAACACATGTAGAAGGGGCTGAACACATGATGAGTGACCTCTATAACAGCCCATTCACAAGAACTGACTGCACCAGACCAGTGTTCGTATTGGGCTGGTGATTTAGCTCAATGGTTCCGGCACCTGCATCGCAAGTGCAAGGACCCAAATTCGATCCCCGGTACCAAAAAAAAAAAAAAAAAAAAAAAAAAAACAGACCAGCGTTCATACCTTCCCAGGGATGTGCACCTAGGAATCTGATTACCTCCCGCTAGCCTCTCCTCTGAAGGGTTTCACGGCCTTAGCACCACCGCATTGAGAGACAAAGCATGTCCATAACATGGCCTCTTTGACAATAATGCTCTGTGTGTATATAAAAGCTGACAGAAGAAATAGATACATTCACAGGTACTGCTATAAACTTCAACCTTCCTTTCTCAGGAATCTATAGAGCTAGTTGAATAAAGGCTGAATACTTTATCAACTTGATCTAAGTGACATTTATAGAACACAGGAGTAGAATACATATCCTTTACAAGTGTTCATAGAACATTCACAAGATAATCATATCTTGGCTCATAAAACAAACCTTATTTATCCATAGGTCAAGTAAGTCTCAAGAAAATTGACTGAATTGCAGTCCTGCCGCTAGGTTCAGTGAACGGACTGCTAAGTGAGGAATCGTATACCTTGTACATTGCAATATTCAGAACAAAGATATGGTCAAAGGAGACTCCAACTAAATGACTTTGCTTTTATTTGTGTAACTCTTACAGTATTGTAATGTATAACAACTGCAGTACTGTACTGTATAGTATAATCTGGAAATTTATTACTGTACTGTAGAAGAAGCCACCATAAGGCTGTGCTGACTCACCCCTGTATCAAGTCTGTGAGGTGGGTTGTGAATCTGAACAAACAGTAGTTAAAACAGGTAAGTCATTAAATGGGGAATATCTGCATTTGGGAAAAATCAAAATTCATAAATAGCTAAAGCAGTGTTTAATGGAAAATATATTGTACTAAATTCTTACATAAAGGTCTCATCTAAAATAGGTTAGAAACTAGAATAAGTAGAGCAAGTTGTATCCAACATGAGGAAAGAAATGACAATAATAGAAAACAATGGAATTGAAAACAAAATTTGTGAACAAGATTCACAAACCCCCAGGCAGACTGATGAAAAAAAAACACAAAATAGCAATATCAGGATTGAAAGGGGGGTTATTGCCAGAAGTCCTGCAAGATACTAAAAAAATAATAGGATAACATATTAGCAATTTTGAGACAAGGTGCAATTCTCAAATTCCTTTAAAAACATGACCAGAACTCACTTAAGAAAAGTAGTGGTCTGGAGGTGTGGCCAGTGTTAGTGCACTTGCCCAGCGTCTGCAAAGCCCTGGGTTCCATTCTCTACCCAGGAAAAAAAAATATTGACTAACTTGAATTCTTAAAACCACTGAAGATACTGGTTTTATAGTTTGCTTTTTATAAAAGAAACCTCCAGGCCAGTAGCTTCCCAGGTCTATTCTACCAAAATGTAGAAAAAAGCACAATTCCACAGTCTCACTGCTGGGGAAATGATTCTCTCCACTTGATCTAGATTTAACACAACCAGTAAAACTCCCAGCAGAATTTTTTTATAGGTATACACAAGCTCATTATAAAATTTAAATGACAAAATGAACTAGAAAAACCCAAAAATGTTAAAATTGGAAGACATTCCAATTTAATGAGTTTAAGCATTACTATACATAGCTACATTGAACCAGACTGTGAGGCTGGGGGAGTAACAGTAACTACAGTAGTTAGAAACTCCAGAAATAGGTCCTGATTTTTTAATGTGATTAAGTAAAGACAAGACTATTTCCTATTAATGTAATTATTGATATGTTGGGGTTTAAATTTACCATATTATTATTTTGTTTGTTCTTTCTCCTTTTTTGTTCCTGTTTTCCTTCTGTCTTCCTGTGGGTTACCTGGACATTTTTGTAGAATTCCATTTTGATTCATGTTTAGTGTGTGTCCTATCCCTTTGCATAGATTTTTTTTTTTTAGTGGTTTCACTGAACAGATGAAATCTATACAAATACATTCAAGTACATTTAATGTGATTACTGATAAGGTAGAATTGGTATCATTTTTGTCATTTTCTGTCTTGTCCATTGTCCTTTTTGTTCCTCTGTTCTCCATTAATGTTTTTTTTTTTTTTTTTTGTCTTTTTAGATGGGTTCATGATGTAGTCTAGGCTGGCCTTGAACTCACTACATAGCCTAGGCTAGTCTCCAACTCAAGGCAATCCTCCTGCCTCAGCCTCCCAATTGCTGGGATTATATCATGCACCACCAGGCCCAACCTAACACTTTGTGTTAAATATTTTCCATTTTAATTTCTTTGATGTTTCTTTTACTCTGCAGCTATTTTGTTCATGGTTGCTGTAGGGATAGGAGTAACAATCTAGGTTAATTATTAGTAATGGTTGTTTTCCTATTCTCTCCTTTGTATTATTTATATAAGCTAAACTTGTATCCATTATGAGTTTATCAATATGGTTTTGTTTTGGGGGTGTTTTTTTAACATACTGGGGATCAAACTCAGGACCTTGTGCTTGCAAGTCAGGTGTGATGCCACTGAGCTAAATCCCTGGCTCTCAACACAGATTTGTAATTGCTTTGTGCAGTTAAATCAGATAGCATTGAAAACAATTCTAAACAAAAGTATACTCTTTCCTGTATACTTAATACTTTTCCTACTATCTGTTCATGTGGATTCAAGATACTATCTAATACTCTTTTATATCAGCCTGAGGACTGTCTTTAGTATTTGTTATAGGATAAGTAATAAAATGAATTTCCTTGATTTTTTAAAACATGGGGATAATTTTCTTGAAGGATAATTTTGTCTTAATTATTCTTTGGGAATAATAAAGCTTTTTTCTTTGGCTCTATTTGTGTCATCCCACTGTTGTCTGGCCTCCATGGTTTCCTGTGAAACTGACTTGTTCC